GGTTCATCAATATCACCAATAACATTCAAGCAAGTATAATAGCCTTGATAATCAGGAAACTGTTTCTTCTTTATAATTCCATCCTTAGCTTTTGTGGTCATAGAATGGACATTTGTAGGCATGACGTGAACTGAATAAGTGGAAATAGAAGAACAAGAGGAATCAAAAGGTATAATAACCTAAAATTGCTCATTAGTTAAAACAGGTAGAGAATCTTGATGAAAGCTTGAAGCAAACACATGATTCAAAGAAGGTGTCCTGATTGCTGAGCCAGAAGACTGTGAACTATAAGCATCATTAAACTGTGGAACTGAGGATGAAGGTAAGGTCATAACAACTGAAACAATTAAAACACCAGAAGTAGAAGAATTACCCAGCTTGAAATTATCATGATCATGATTCTTCTTAAAAGGAAAAACTTGCTCATCATGGATAACATGTCAAGAGAGAAAACATTTGTCATGCAGATGATCATAACAGAAAACCCCTTTGTAGCCTGGTGCACAGCCTAAAAATACACACTGAATAGTATGAGGTTGTAGCTTGTGAATATTATAAGGCCGAGTATAAGGGAAAATTGCAATACCAAACACCCTTAAGGTGGAAATCTCAGGTTGTTTACCAAAAAAACTTAAAATAAGGAGAATAATTATTCAACTGAACACTAGACATCCTATTTATGAGATAAGCAGCATGCACAATAGAGTGAAACCAGAATCTACTGGGTAAAGATGTTGCAGTTAACAATGTAATTGATGTTTCGATTAAATGTTGATTCTTCCTCTCGGCCAAACCATTTTGCTGGAGTGTGTAGGGACAAGAAAATTGATGAACAATCCCTTTAGATTCAAGAAAGTCAATAAACACTTTGCTTCTATATTCTTCACCGCCATTAGATTGAAAACACTTGATATGAGCATTAAATTGATTCTAAAAAAATGCATAGAACTTAAGAAAACTTGGAGAAAACTTCTGATTTATTATAGAAAAGAGAAATCCACAAGTAACCAATACATTTATTGATAAAGGTAACAAAGTACCTATAGCCATCTATGGACTTAAAATGAGAGGGACCCCATACATTACTATGGACTTGATGAAAAGGTTTATGTGTCTTCACATGAGTTTGAGAAAATGGCAGCTTGTGCATCTTCTCTTGTTGACAAGAAGAGCATAGAAACAATTGAGAATCATCTTAGCACTTAATATCTGAAGCCTTGAGCATTAGTTGCACAACTTCATTAGTAGGATGGCCTAATCTATGATGCCACAAAAAGTCTTAACGTGTTGTCTGTTTGTACAATATCTGGCCAAGCACTCCCCAAGTACCCAAGGCTCCGAACAATCGGCTACCGATGGTATTGTCTCAAAGCAACAAAAGATCGCTACAGGCTCGTGCAGTCTGGAATCGGTATTCCCTACCGATTCTGCAGAACCAACCTCAAAACACCCGCCCGAAATATCTAAGGACTCGTGTCAACCTCATAGGGCCCTCCCACGAGTCCCACATCGAAAATGAGTACCAAGAGCATACAAAATGCCCTCTATAAATAGGCCCCTCCACTACAATACAGGGGTAAGACTCTTCAGCTTGACTTTTATACTTTTATATGGTCAACAGCAAGAGCTCTTAGAAACAAACTTACTTTGGCATCGGAGGGTCTTAGGCTAGTTCCACCCCGGTTCCATAGACCTCACGAGTCTCAACTCTCTTCTATTCAGGATCTGCATCCAAGGACAAGAAGAATCTGCATCTATCATTCAATCGATCTGCTAGATCGTCCTCACCACTTGTAAGTTGCACTCATCTCTATCTGTTCAGTTTTAGTGCCAACATTGTCCAAGAAAAGCAATTGAAGAGGTTGAAACTAATGGAGATATTGGTGTAGAGGCTGGGTGAGAATTCTAGAATGAAGAGGAACCTTGTGAAGAAACATACAGAATGAGGTATAGACCGTTGTTATTCTTGCCCCGAAGTAGAACCTGATTGGTTAACTTTGTCATGTATACAAAAAACAGAAGCATCAAAGCTAATGAGGCAATTATTATTCTTGCACAACTGATGATCTGATAACAAGTTAGCTTTGAGCTGAGGAACATGAAAAATAGTAGGAAGTTTAAGGCAAGAAGAAATAGCAGCTTGGCCAATATGGTTAATTGCCAAACCTTCCCCATTACCAACTGTCACTTGCTCAACTGAATCACAATGAGTTGCATTACTGAGACGAGAAACATTAGACACCATGTGATGTGATACACCACTGTCAACAATTCATACTTGCTCTGGAGAGTAGGAGGTATGTGCAGTCAAAGCTGACAACTAAAAAGATGGTCCTTGCCCTTGATATGCATAATTGGATATGTGAAAACAGTCCAAAACACCATGCCCACGCTTGCCACAAATTTGGCACTTAACAACATAACCTGAAGGCTTAAAATTGCCATTAACATGCCTTTGATAGCAATTAGCATCAGTATGACCACGTTTGCCACAAATTTGACACTCTGGGACAAAAGATGACTTATGACTAGATGAAAAACCAGAATGACCTCCTGAAAGTGCTGACCATGAAACTTATTATGAGAAAATTTCCCTCTACCATAGGAAGCATTAGAGGCATTGCTACCACTAGAAAAAGATCAAGAACTAGAATAACCTTGACCATGAGAAAAACGATGATTTGATCCACTTGAGTTGCCAAGAAAGCCAACATGAGGAGTATGTAGTAATCCCATACCAGAAAAAGTGCTAGAAGACGAAGAATGAGAAGCCACCATTGCTGTATGAGACGAAATTCGTGCAGTTTGTTAAGCAACCAACAACTGCGCTCGGAAATCTTTCAAGGAAATTGATGAATCATGAGCAATAAGAACCATCTTAATCATGTCATATTCAGAAGAGAGACCATTAAGAGCAGCGATAATGAAGTCATCATCAGAGATCTTAATTGCAGCATAAGCTAATTGATCACAAATGTGTTTGAGTCTTAGGAGATAGCGTTCGATTGAATCAACTCCCTTTTGAGTGGTCTGCATCTCAGTTTTCAAGTGATTGATTCTCGCACGAGAACCAACGCATATCGATCGAAAAAATGAAGCCAAGCCTCACGAGCAGTCTTGCCTCCAATGACATACTCAAGAACTAGCTTCATCAGATAAAGAGGCGATCATCAAGCTAAGAAAAGCCTTGTCAGTGTGAAGCCAATCCTTGTAGGCGGCGGTAATTTCAAAGGTCACTCTTTCCTCATAAACAATTGCAAATTTAGGAGGAGGAACGATCGTACCATCAAAATGGCAAAAAAGATCGTAACCTTGAAGCACATATTCGAGTTGAAAACTTCATTTCAGGAAGTTATACTCACCAAGACGAATAGTAATGTACCCAAGAGACCTTCAACTGTGATTACAGAAGACGCCATTGAAAATATCAAACCCTAAATAGTAGATGAGAAAAGATGAATTGACACAATTGTTTCAGAGAAATTCACAAAACAGAGGAGAAGAGGCAAGAGGCAAGAGTCAAGAATCAGGAAACATAAATCCCCAATTTTAAAGAACCCTAACTTTCAAGATTGAGAAAAAACTTCTGAGAGTGAAAATAGAATCCGAATCCAGACACGAAGACAAAGAAGAAATCAAGCAGAAGTTCAGGCATGTGGCATTCACCTGATTTTTTAACAAACATTTAGATTTAATTTATTAAAAACTAACAGTGGGGGTAAATTGACGATAAAATTTAGTATATGGGCTACATTGGCTGAAAAAATTGTTAAGTGTGGTAATTTCGACAAACGTGATAGTTAAGGGGGTATTCGGCAAAAAACCCTTCTTTTTTTTTTGGCCAAAGCCATTCATTTTGTATGAGATTCGGTCTATGGTCCACTAACACACATGTGGGCTAAAACTTTATAGAACTGCTTTGGCACGTGTGATATAACAAACAAAACTATGTTTCTCTTGTGTGCATATGACATGCCTTTTTCCTTCTCTTTCGTTTGCCCCAAGCAATAAGAAAGGTTATAAATGGTAAAACATTTTTCTTTAATGAAAAAAGAAATTTCAACGAGATACTCTACGAATCCTAAAATCATACAAATCAAACTCTAATTCAAACCACGTTGTAGGAGAAAATTTACAAAACCAAATACAAAGATGATTATACAAATGTCAAGACTTACTAAACATATGCAACCATAGTTGTTTTTCGAACGAGATACTCTACGAATCCTAAAATCATACAAATCAAACTCTAATGCAACCATAGTTGTTTTTCGAAAAGTATCTCAAACATAAAAATTTGAAATTTGACATAATATAAGACATATATTCTAAATGATAGACTGAATAATCCAAGGTACGTGAAGAAATTATTATCTGATGGACTCCAACTAGAATTGGATATTTGTTCGTGGAATATCTTCTCCCTTTTTCTTGTTTTTCAGAATTTAAATTTTTTCTGTCTATAAAGGAAAATCCATTTTTGGATTCCATAATTCATGGCTAGTTTCCATTTACAAGCACAATCTTTGTATCTGAAATTGTTGAACAGATAAGATTAATAAGGATAAACAACATTATCTTCTGCTAATATTTATACTTAAGAAAGAAACTGCCAGCTCATCCCGTTGGGCCCCATCTAGCCGAGAATCACGAGCAGTGCTGGCAACATTACCGCGACGCCGAATCGGATCTTTTCTGGACCCGACTGGGTGTGACAAGGCCATTACCCACCGTCCCGTTTAGGTTGCGCGGTAACCCGAAATTGAAGGAGGAGCAGTAACTTAAAAATTAAAGTAAAAAAGAAAAAGAGGGAGAGCGACAGTTGGGGTTTTAACTTTTTAACCGACCTGAAAAAACCGCGGTTTACAACCAATATTTAGAGATATCAAAACACATTGAAACAAAAACCTTAATAAGAAAAAACCAAAGCGAGAATTTGTCGGGATAGTTTTTTTTTCTTCTTTTTCCCGTCAATTTGTTTCTTATTTTTATTTTTGTCATTTTGGTGGATTGGTGGTGGTGTGGGTGGTCTTGAATGGTTTTCAGTTCTCACACAACCACCCCAAACCTCTGTTTCTCTCTGTCTCTCTGTTTCTGTTCTTCTCCTTGTAGATTTCTTTCATTAGAATTTGAGAGCTAGATTAATTCGCACGTGCGTGCATGGTTAGTTCGCGCCATTTGTACGGGAAGTTGCAGAACCCATGCAAACCTATCCAACGTAAAAGTTGCATTGCATGTGCAGGTTCTTGTTGCTTTTCATTTTTGGCGTTGTATGGAAGCTTTGCCTTATAGCCTTTTATATAGGGTTGGTTTTCGGTTAAGGTTATTTCATACTTTTGATGATTCTTCTTCTGCTTCTTTAATCTATTTTCTTTTCTGGTTCTCATTAATTTTGGTGGAATTACAGAGAAAATTGGAAAGGACGAAAAGTTGATAGAACGATAAAGAAGGAGGAGAGGTACTTATTGATAAAGGGAAGGAGAATTATGGCAGAAACTGATGATGAACCTCATCCTCCTGACCAAGAACACGCGAGCTCAACGCAGCATGACCAGACCAATGGATCGCCGCAGCCGCATGAGCAGAGTTCCGAGCAGAACGAAGCACCGCCAGCAGACACCCCGACCCCACCATCATCACCGCCGCCTGCGCAAGCCGCGCCGGCTCCAAAATCAGAGACTCCGCCTCCATCATCTCCGCCTCCTGCTCCGAAAGCTACTCCACCTCCTAAAGCTGCACCGCCTCCGTCATCTCCGCCACCATCATCTCCTCCGCCTGCATCACCGCCGCCGTCTTCTCCACCCCCAAATTCACCACCACCGTCTTCTCCACCACCAAAATCACCCACCCCTTCTCCTCCTCCCCACTCGCCACCACCGTCAACATCATCATCAGGAACACCACCTTCAGGAACACCACCTTCTGCTCCAGATCCTCCTCCTAGTACTACTCCTAATAAAGCTCCTGCACCATCCTCCGGTGGTTCGTCATCTCCATCACCGCCAACTGATTCGTCACAAGGAGGAGGCTCTCCTCAATCCCCACCCACTGACTCTCAGTCCCCTCCAGCATCCCCCCCACCTCCGGCGAACCCTGACGGCACAATCCCAACCACCAACCCCACCGCCCTATTTCCTCCCAACGTTCCTACCCCTCCAACAGTTTCAGGAACCACACCTCAGCCCCCTCTTCTGTCTTCTAATTCCACCCCCACACTATCCCCTCCCTCAAACTTAAATTCAAGTAAGTCTTCAGAGGACACGGGAGGAAGTAGCAGTAGGCATACGGGCACTGTTGTGGGGTTGACTGTAGCTGGAGTTTTCATCATTGCCTTGCTAGCTCTCATTTTTGCGTTCATAAGGAGGAGAAAGAAGCAGGCCCAAGTATATCCCCCCAATTACTTGCCTCCCACCCCTGGTCCTCCCGGCAGTAACTTATCGGGTACGCGAAAAGATTGTTGGCTAATCGATATACAAAATACATCAAGATCAATGTTGTGCCTAGACTATGTGGTTAAAGAGTCTTAACTTTTGTGGTGGTGCAGGTGGATATTATCTTGCGCAGCAACAGAGTCCTGCAACTTCTGGTCCCACAGAAAGCTTCTATTCAAGTGGGCCGCCGGGACGTTCTTCTTTTGATAATAGCTATCAAGCGCACAGTGGAGATTCTGGTCTCATAGCTGCTACTAAAGTCCATTTCACGTATGAAGAGTTAATGGAGATAACCAATGGATTTTCTCGTCAAAATGTTCTTGGTGAGGGTGGTTTTGGATGTGTTTACAAGGGTTGGTTGCCGGAAGGGAGAGTTGTGGCAGTGAAGCAGCTTAAGGCTGGTAGTGGGCAGGGAGAGAAGGAATTCAGGGCAGAAGTTGAGATTATTAGTCGCGTGCATCATCGTCACCTGGTCTCTTTGGTGGGATACTGCATCTCTGACAATCAAAGATTGCTTATATATGAATTTGTTCCCAATAAAACTCTTGAGCACCATTTGCATGGTATGTGATTGATACCAAAAACAAACAAAAAAAAGCTCTGCTTTTGATGAGATCTTTTACTTGTCATATATTTGGGTTCTTGTGTTCTCTTTGTCAAAATGTTGATTTGTGATGATTTCAGGTGCCGGAATGCCGGTGTTGGAATGGACCAGAAGAATGAAGATTGCTTTGGGGTCTGCAAAGGGTTTGGCGTATTTACATGAAGATTGTATGTACCTGTGCTGCTGCATTCTCTCCTCACTAGTTTATGCTATTAAAAACGGAATTGCTCTCTTTGTGACTTTGTGCGCAAGTAAACTGATACATTCAATACTGAATTTCTCTTCCAATCCATATTATCTGATTTTGTCTTGTTCTCCTTGCTTGATCTGTTTCTAGGCCATCCAAAAATTATTCACAGAGATATTAAATCGGCAAACATTCTGTTGGATGATGTTTTTGAGGCACAGGCATGTCTATCCAGTCCTGTTCTTTTGTTGAACTTAATTCTTCTGATGCTACCCCAAGATTTTAGTTAATTTGGTGACAGTGGCCAGTGGGGTTCTAGTTTCTGATTTTAGAATTTCTTCGAGCACAGGTTGCAGACTTCGGGCTTGCCAAACTTACAAACGATACTAATACTCACGTTTCCACTCGAGTCATGGGAACATTTGGGTAAGCAAGAGCTGGGTGGAAATATAATATTGTACTGCTTAAGACCGTTCCTTGGAATTTATGTTCAAGTTGGCTTTCAGGTACATGGCACCTGAGTATGCATCAAGTGGGAAATTGACAGACAGATCAGATGTGTTCTCATTTGGAGTTGTGCTTCTAGAGCTTGTAACCGGGCGTAAACCTGTTGACACGAGTCAGCCTCTGGGGGATGAGAGTTTGGTTGAATGGGTAAGGACATCTTTTACCTCTCTATAACATGTGACAAATTAGTTGTTCACAATTCAAGAACGTGCTGTCCAAAATTTGGCAGGCTCGTCCGATCCTCCTTAAAGCCCTTGAAACTGGGGACTTGAGTGAATTGGTAGATCCTCGGCTTGAGAAGCATTACGTGGAGGGTGAAATGATCAGAATGATTGAGGCAGCTGCGGCATGCGTGCGTCATTCTGCTCTTAAACGACCACGGATGGCTCAGGTGATACTAATAAGAAGCAGCACTAGTAGAAGTAGTTGATTTGCTTCTTTTTCAGGCTTGAGCCAGTCTAATTTCAAATTGTTTTTCAGGTGGTGAGAGCATTGGACTGCGAAGGTGAATTGTCTGATCTGTGCAATGGAGTGAAAGTTGGGCAGAGCACTGCATATGACTCTGGGCAGTACAATGAAGACATTGTGAGATTCAGGAGAACGGCATTAGGCAGCGAAGGCAGCTCAGAGTATGAAATGTCAAGCACAGAGTTCACCACCAGAGAAATATCTGGACCTCAAAGAGTATGGACTCGCCCTGATTCAAGCGAGGAATCAGAAACTCGAGCCTTTACAACCCGCGGTGGTGAGAAGGGATTTAGCGGCACTCCAGGCAGACACAACTTCTAATTTCTGAATGTTAATCTAATCCATGGTGCACACCAGAGAGAGAGAGAGAGAGAGTGCACTCAGTTTTTTTAAGATAAAAAAAGAAAAGAACAGAAAAAAAAAACCCTGTTTGACTTAATCTGACATATTAGTGTGTAAATTAAGGCTAAGCTGCTGCTTCTTTTTTCTTTTTCATTTTTCCTTGATGAAAGGCACTATATTCTCTAGTTCCCTCAAAGCATTAGCAGCGGGGAAGCTTGTAAAGTTTACTCAAGCTACTTTTTAGTCATTAATATAAAACAATCTGTATTTGATAGTAGAGCAATAAGATTTCAGTTTGCTCATATATATTAGCCTCCAGAACTTCCATACTTACGATCATCAAAAAGAAAAAGAACATGTCTAAAGCAGATATTCGTGCAACGAACATGTCTAAAGGAATTATCTAGGTGTCCTTAGTTGAAAATGAAATCTTCACTTTAAAAACGATGATAATCTGTCAATTTATGCCTTTGTGAACTGTCTGATTTGTCTCCCGTGTTAGCTGGATCAACTTGTCTCTCAATTTCTTTGCCTGAATGTCTCTGTTTGCCTATGGTACGGACAAACACATTGCAGTTAGAAAAGTGATCGAAGAAATTGTTCTTACTTGCTATTGACATGATTTCTTATGGAAATTTCAAATATAAGCAGAAGTTTCTTTCTCAGAATCTTACCTGAACCTTAAGGATGTTTAGGACATTTCCGTCAAATGTGGTAACATTGGCATCAACTACTTGAAGCCCTAAAGAATCCATATTCTCCATCAACCTTGCAAACCCGCCTCGGCTCTGCTCATAGAACAACTTAATCAAACAATCTCTTTTGCCAATCTGGTTCACTTCCACTTGCACCTAAGAGACAATGTGGCACTTAAATGAACAGAACATTTGATACATTATGCATAGTAGGGATCGTGGACTCTTTCACTAAATCAGCAGACATATACTGAATGTATAAGTTGGAACAAGAGTAACTGCTTAAGTGTGATGCTAAATTCATAAGTACTCGTACCGCTGTTGGACTCTTTTGAACAAAACTAGAGGAACCCTGTTTGTGCTCTGTAGAAATCAAGCAAATGCTGCCTTCTTTTCTAATGTCTGAGGCCAGAATTTTCACATCTGCTTTGTTCTTTGTCAAGTCCTCCTCCTCTTCGATTTCCCTGAGCTCATCTTGAAGTTCTTTCTCCTTCTTCTTTAACTCTTCAATATATTCAACCGCATCTCCTATAATAGCAGGTATATCCATCTACAAGAAGTCAATAAACGAATAATAAGACCAAATGTCAGTAAGAACAAAGAAAAAAAAGGTTGTCCCTGGAGTCTTTCACAGATAAGATGATCTTAACCTTGCTTATCTTCGGGACTAGAGCACGCAGAGCAAAGTGCCCATCTTTAATCCTGCTCCTCCTATTCCTCTCTGCGAAAAGATTCTTGGATTGGTACTGCCCGCTTCCTGTCTTCCTGGTCACCTTTGCCTTATGTTTCTCTACTACACTCCCACTGCCACAAGCCAAGCCTGCCTGTTGCTGCAACAAGTTGTCACCACGCTTGGACTTTCTAGAGCGCGAAGATAACAATGGATGTTCACTCGAAGGATTTGAACCGCTGGATGATCCCTCAAGGATAGGACAGGAGGAAGTTCGGGAAACTGATGAGGGGAAAACTTGTGGCCTGGGAATGAAGTTTGCCAAATTCAAAGAAGGTAGCAACTTTTCTGGGCACTCTTCTGGCAATGGATCAACATGGAATTCATTAAGGCTTGCACTGGCATTGAGGTTCACATTGGCATAGTCATGTGTAGGTGTAGCCATGGGTTCTTGTTTTAAAGAGTTATTGAATGGAGCCATAAACAACTCTAACATCTTTTGATTTTCAGGAATCTGAAAAGTGAACTTCATGTTATTCAAAGTTGGACGAGAAAATATAAAGCGCTGTCTTCTGATGATTAGAAAAGAGAAATAAAAACCTTACATTCTTTGTGGAAAAGAGCTCAATGAGGTCACTTAGCACAGGGATCAACACTCGGGTACCAACGAAGTCCTGTCAAAACAACATTAGTCCATGTTAAGCAGAATGTCTATGCTATTTAAGATCCATCTACTGCATATAATAAACAATTCATAGAGGCACTTTGAGGAGCCTTGGAGCTATATGGGTCTTCTCTGTTTTTAGGAAACTGGCTTTGGGATAGAGAGCACAGAGTGGGTGATTCTAAAATTTTCATTAAAAGCTCAAGCAGTGAAAACAATACAACTATTTCCACGGCCTCGTCTTAAAAGGTTGTCCTTTTCAATCTTTACAATGATGATTTGTTGATTGTGATATGACCAACCTCAAAAGCCCATATTAAGAAACCCAAAACTGTTTGGTTGCTGAGAAAAAGTCATCAGAAAAGAACGAAGTGAGATGCATTTTGGGTTACCCACGTGTGATTGTGAAGGATTTGAACCCGAGGCATTGACATGACCACTAAGCCACCTGGGTTGTGCTGATATGATCACCTCCGTATGAATCCTGAGTTCAATCTCACATATCAGAAACACAAAAAATCTCTTGGTCTGTTCACCCCAAAACTCAAACACATAAAATGCGAGCCAAAAATCAGAGACTCTACCCAGAGTAGAGAGGCATAGAAGAAGGAAGCTGAGCAAGAGCCTCACAAGCCTTTGTCCTAATTGGGTGCTTAAGGAAGCCATCCCTGCAAAGTTTAGCAGAGTGGGGCTCTCCTTCTTCCTCTTTGACATTAACACAGTCATACTCATACCCACCACCACAACAGCAACCCATCATTTCAATAAACCTACAAATTTCAGCAAACACACAAAAAGTTCAACAGATTAAAAAAGAGATGGAAACTTTTGATGTGGGTTACCTTTTTTTAATGTGGGTTTTATTGGAAACAGTTGATGATATTACCTAGAGGGGTCATCGCCAAGTTTCCACACAACACAATAGTCCCATTGCTTGGACTCAACAAGGGGTCTAAGCGACTCAGACACTCCCTCCAAATTTCTCATTGATTTGTCTCCTTTTGCAATACTTGCAGTGAGCGAGTCCAAGACTAAATGTGTAAGCTTTGCCTTGTGTAGCGAGTTTAGTGAGTGGCGAGTATATATATTAGTGTGGCATTGACCGACTTACCATGTTGCTTTTATACAACAGGTTCAACCCAAATAATTTAAAGGCACATGGTACACGACACGACAATGCTAACCAACTCCTCTGCTTTTGAATTGGGAGTGTATCGTTTTACTCAGAGGCAAATCTGTGACAGGGGGGAATCTGATACCAGCAGGGAAGAGAGAGAGAGAGAGAGAGAGAGAGCAGAGACAGTTTTGACTGACAACCAAAATCATTTTACAAAACGACCATCGAATGGTTCAAAAGCTCCAATGGAATTGAAAGCTACCCATAACTGAAAATATTTCATTCCTTGGGGAAAAAGAATGTGGGTAATTGGGTTCATGACACGTTGCATTTATAATTTGGTTCATATACACATAATCTTTTAAGTGCTGAAGCAGTCTTTAAGCTTAATTATAGAGCTGGAATTGTAAGACAGAAAATGGTTTTCAATTTCAAATGCAATAGCAAACCGGTCATCTACTTAATTGTGAAAAGAAATCTGGTATTGAAATCCACATTTGTGTCAAAATCACCTTGTAAGGCAAAGCGATTTATCGCAGTTATCTGGGAAGGTGCGTAGAGTCACGGCTCTGCTACGGCTCAGGTGCTTGCACCACCTCCTTCCTGTCCTGATGGTTCTGTTTGTTTTGCCCTGGGGTTGCCTTGAGTGTTGCTGGGTTTTGGTGACTGTTTGGTGGGGCATCTGCTTCTCTGTGGTAGTTGTTGCAATGTTGTTTTTAATTTATTTTTAGTTTTGTTTATCTGTTTGATATCATTATCTGGGGTAGTCTGTTGCTTGCTCCTGTTTCTTTTGATATTGCAGATTAGATCTGTGTTTACTTGTATTGTTGTATCTGTTCCACCTATTTGGGTGAGTTTTCGTAATGAAATTTCATCCTTCGACCAAAAAAAGTTGAGGGTGGTGGTGGATAAAAATAAAATTGTGGGGCAAAGAATATTTGCACAGTATCCGTATATGTTGTCTGCCTTAGCAGGACGGTTACAGTTCTCTGATAATTCCTCAACAACCAGTACATCTGCTCGAGGCAGTTGTGTACGGAAAAGCTAGTCACAGAATAGGGGTCTTGATGGGTCTCAGGTCCAGCAGGCCCACCTATTTTATGACAGCCCACAAAGCCCAGTTGAAATGCTTAGATACCCTTGTGGGTTTTCGGCATTCAATACTTGACATTCTTCCTTTTATGAGATTAATTGCTTTTATCAGAGCCTTTGTTTTGTTACTGATGAGGGTTTAGTCTTTGCCTCAAGAACATATCAATGGAAAATCACATGCAATGATTATGTACCTTTGTATCACAATACCTTATAACATCATTACGTATCAATACTTGAAGAAGTTGCAGAGTTTGGAAATTATAAATAAATGAAAAGGCAAAAAGAAAACAGAGAAGAACAGAGAAAACGAGAGGACTAATTTAATTTTGACAGATATGCCAATCCAGCTACTACAAGTTACTGATGATCCCATCCTTACGTGTGACATCATCATGCAATTCATCCACTGGCTCGGGGCTCTCTAATCACAACATGATCACCAGGCTGCTTCATTTCACCTTTCATGTGAATATGATGATCACCATTTCCATGATGTGGTTTGCTGTGATTGTTCATGTATCCTCTGCTCTCTGATCTGCTGCCATTGCCATTTGGGATTTTCTTGTCGAACCCGAATTCGATGTCTGTGTCTTTGGGGGCACGAAAGCTGGGATTCTTATTATTCCCAAACTCCATGTGGTGATTATTCACCGCAGCTTCTTTTTTGCTGGGACGAAAGTTTTGCTCCGGTTGCTTGTTGGGTTTTGAGTTGTGGAGGCGGCGGTTGCAGAGCCGTCCAAGAAAGCAAGCAATGGCTGATATGACAACTATAACGGCCAGCACAATGAAAACCGTCCCAAATGAGCCATTTGAATGGTGGGAAGAAGACGGCTGTCCTCTCACGTTGTTTGGGTAAACAAGAGCAGGCTGTTGTTGCTGAGGCTGCAAGGAGGACATGGTGATGATGGTTTTTGATTTGCCACTTGGAGATTGGGATTGGGATAAAACAGAGAATATGGGATGGGATTTTGGGGGCTAATTAGTATTATTATGAAGGCTGTCTCTGTAGCTGTTGTTCTTTGAGTGCAGACAAAGGGAGACTTGGGTTTACTCAGGAGCCAAGCAAGAACATTAATATGAATATGGATTGCCTGTGAGATGAGGTTATGTTGTGTATAATATTAATATTAATATTAAGATTGGGTGTTCAAATGTTTGGGTTTTGAAATCAAGAAAGGAGCAAACTTTCTTTAATAAAGAGAAAAACTAAAGAGATTCCTTGCTGATCTCTCTTTAGTCTTTACTGCTGAAGAAGGAATTTAGAAGCTGCAAGAGATTGCTTTGTATGGAGAGAAAGCAAGATTTTGGTGGCTTTGGACAGCACATTGCTTCTTCTCAAAAGCCCCTTGGAAAAAAGTAGCATTTGTTTGATAGGCAGGCAGGCAGGATCTCATATAATTTGTACATATGATTGGGTGAATGGATGGCCATCATGGAAATCAGTACAAACAAACACTATTTTTGAGCACCTAGCTAGTGTTGATCTAACTGTCATTGGATTTCAATTGATTTAATATGTGCGTCCAAAAATTCTACAAACAAGTTGTGGGGTTCTCCAAAGCACCCTTATGAGCTTAATGGCCGGGGACATCTTTATTCCTTTTTCTTTTTTAGGCAAGGATTATGCTAGCTTGATTTTAGGTCTTTTTGATCATTAGAGCAAAGCAATATGCAAAGGGTAACGTTAGTCTGATCGCATTGTTATACTTCATTGTGTACTATTTTTCTAATAGAGGTGGGCACCGATATAATGTGGTAAGCCTAGTATTATCCATATGCAAAAGTCTTGTTGGGTTAACTCATATGGGTTAGAGGTGAGTGAGGAGACATGTGCGGTTTGATTGTCCATATGGGTAAGAGTGAGTGTAGGTGAGAAAGGAATGTCGTTGCTTACTTCTCACACTTCCTAAATTCTGTTTTGATTGTCAAAGAGTAGGGATCAAATGTGTGAATTGAACTAATTATACGCGAGGCTCTCGGGTCAATCCCAATCCTATTCCTGTGGGCGTTGTTGGCTGGTCAAAAAGTGTGTTTACCCAAACTGACACCAAGTCTGAAGTGGGACCACAATGCATAACACCTTTCAATTATTCAATTGAAGAAGAAGAAGAAGAAGAAGAAGAGAAATTATAATGACCAAACCTGTGGCAAAACGAAAGGGAATTACCCTCAAACCAAAGCATGCACAAACTACTGCAAAACCAAAACCAAAACAACACATATATCTAGGTAGCTGCCTCTTCACACATAATTAAAGTCATCCCAAATTTAAACTCAACTCCATCAAATAAGTACTCAACATCAAGCTTAATTGGGATCCCTAACGAATTAAAATGCCAAACGAATTTGATCATCATCATCATCAGCTCCTCCACCCCAAATTCTCACTCTTCCTTCTCTGTCTTCTCTCACCCCCAATAGGTAAATTCCAATGCATGGCATGCCATGACACATGCACTAACTAACTAAAGTTTCCATAACTAATTATACTTCAAGTTTAACCTAGGGTTTTAAATTCTTACTTTTGTAGGTTCAACAGCCGCAGTAGCGGCACCAATCGGAATCTGCTACGGTCGAGTAGCCAACAACCTCCCACCACCGGCCGCCATCCTCCAAATCCTTCAAACCAACAACATCTCATCCGTCCGTCTCTTCAACACCGACCCCGCCACCCTCCAATCCTTCTCATCCACCCCAACAATCCGCCTCACTATCGGCGTCCCCAATGAGCTCCTCCCCACCCTCGCCTCCGCCACCGTCCATGATGCCCTCGCCTGGCTCCAATCCAACATCCTCGCCCACATCCCCCCCAACCAAATCCACTACCTCGCCGTCGGCAACGAGGTCTTCCTCAAAGACCCTTACTACATCCCCCACGTCCTTCCCGCCATTCTCAACCTCCACCAAGCCCTCCAAACCCTAGGCCTCTCCCAAACAATCAAGCTCTCTTCCCCGCAAGCCGCCTCCGTACTCTCCGCCTCCTACCCTCCCTCCTCCGCCTCCTTCGACCCCTCCCTCCAACCCTCTCTCCTCCCCCTCCTCCACTTCCTCCGCGACACAAACTCTCCCTTCATGGTCAACTCCTACCCCTACTTCAGCTACTTAAGCAGCCATTCCTTCGTCTCCCTAGATTACGCACTCTTTCGAGCTTCCGGCGCCGCTGAGGTCGTTCTGGACGGTGGGTTGGCGTATACTAATCTCTTCGACGCGAGTGTGGATGCGTTTGTGAGTGCGATGGAGAGGGAGGGAATTGCCGGCGTGCCCGTGGTGGTTTCGGAGACGGGTTGGCCGACACTTGGAGGGGAAGCGGCGAGCGTTGAAAATGCACTGGCGTATAATGCTGAGGTGGTGAGGCGGGCGGTGGAAGGGGTTGGGACGCCGAGGAGGCCCGGGGTGGGCGTGGAGGTTTTCTTGTTTGACCTGTTTGACGAGAATGAGAAAGGAGGTGAGGAGTACGAGAAGCATTTTGGAATTTTTGGGCCTGATGGGCTTAGGGCTTACGGGCTTAGTTTTAACTGAACATGGGCCTTATGGGTTTGACGACGGGGCTCGCACGTCGATATCAATAATGGACCTCTGTCGGATTGTATGTTGAGTCATTTTGTCAGATGAATCAATACCAGAGTGATATGCCATTATTAATATTGTTGTTTATGGACACGTGTCAAGTATTGAGGATGGTGGTGAGGGTATAGCATAAACATTACTATTCCAATGTTCACACTTGTAATAAATTATGTGAATTGCAAGGAATCAAAGACTTGATATCAATGTTTGTTTTTCAGATTACATTGAAATTTACTTACAAGCTTAAATGCTTTGGACGGATTTTATATTTATTTGGGAATTAAAAAACAAAAGGCAAGAATATAAAAAGAAAAAGAAAAAGAAAAGTTAATCTTTTGGTTTTAAAAAGGCTCATGTAATACATGCTATGCATCCAACGCAAGTCATACGCGGACACTAGACGCGAAGAGATGCTTTGATTCCTTTTCTTTTTCTTAATCTCCAAGAAAAATAATAACAGAGAGAGAGGCCAGAGAGGAAGGGAATATGAATTTTGTTTTTGTCTGTCATTATAAATAGAGCCCCTGAGTTCTCCACAAATCACAAGCTCTGCAACTTCTAAATTGTAACCAGTCCAATCCAATCCAATCCTGTTGAAGAAAACCCAGGAATAGCAAATATGTCCGATGATGAACAAAACGTCGTTGAGTTGGTCAACAGCGAACCCCACGACTTTCGCTCCCTGCTTTCTTCTTCTGGGAGGGACTTTCTTGTCCGCAACAATGGTGATCAGGTATATTTTCACCTCTCAATATATGATTGTTTTAGATTATCTTATGTTCATTTCTTTTTGGGGAAAATATGGGTATGAGGACAATTTTGTGATAATAGTGGAATTAGATTCAATTTTGGGTCTTTGAATTTGGTCTGTCATATCGTATCGTATCGCTGTACCCGTATCCATATCCATGCAACATAAATCATCACACTGGTAAATAGACGAATTTGCAAATAGAAAATAAATGGAGGTTGAGTTTGAGTGGTATAAGAAAAACCAAGTTACTATCTTCAATTGCTCTGTTTGCAAGGTTTTGTATTTGGTTAGGCAAGTTCATATTAGGCGTGGGTGATCTGTATTTCAGCATTTGTTTGTGTAATCTTCTCAGATATCTGTACATTGTATTAATTTGAATAGTGGTTTATTTTAAAAAAAGTGATTAGGAAAGTTCATAGAAATAGTGTAAAAGCAGATTGATTATTAAGATGTGGAGGGGTTTGGATGTATTTTGTATAGAATTTTTTTAAATTTTTACACGTTGACCCTCAGGAGGAAAATACCTAAATCCGCCACTGTATCTTTGAATCATGTGGGGATAATATAAGAGAGGAATCATTTGTTAAATTCTTGATTTACAGATTAAAATTGAAAGCTTGGAGGGGAAAAAGCTTGGGTTGTACTTTTCTGCATCATGGTGCGGTCCATGTCAACGGTTCACCCCGGCTTTAGTGGAGGCCTACAATGAACTTTCTCCAAAAGGTGATTTTGAGGTTGTATTTATCTCAGCTGATGAAGATGACGAGTCATTCAATGGGTACTTCTCAAAGATGCCATGGCTTGCAATTCCGTTTTCTGATTCAGAGGCACGTGATCGTGTGGATGAACTGTTCAAGGTCAGAGGGATACCCCATCTTGTGATCCTTGGTGAAGATGGCAAAGTTTTGAGTGACAGTGGAGTTGAGATTATTCAGGAGTATGGAGTAGATGGCTACCCTTTTACACCACAAAAGATAAAAGAACTAAAAGATCAAGAAGAAGCTGCCAGAAGGGATCAGTCCTTGAAAACAATCTTGGTCTCTCGCTTACGTGACTTTTTAATTTCAAATGACGGAAAGAATGTAAGTTTCAATGTCACTGCTTGTTTATGCTACTAACTACTAGTCTCATATTTTATACATGTATCATAAAATGTAATTCGGCCCCCAATCTGACTGTTGTTCTCAATGTGCGCATATATTAAGGTGCCTGTCTCAGAACTTGAAGGGAAGATAGTAGGTCTCTATTTTTCATTGTCTGCATACAGTCCATGCGTTGATTTTACTCCAAAACTTGTGGAGGTTTATGAGAAGCTAAAAGCAAATGGAGAGAGCTTTGAGGTTGTGGTAATACCACTTGATGATGATGAAGATTCATTCAAGCAAGATTTTAAGAACATGCCTTGGTTTTCTTTGCCCATCGGGGACAAAAATGTTGGGAAGTTGGCTCGATACTTTGAGCTTTCAACCTTACCCACTTTGGTTATTATTGGGGCAGATGGTAAAACTCTTAGTAAGAACGTTGCTGAGGCCATTGAAGAGCATGGGGTTCTGGCTTACCCCTTCACACCAGAGAAGTTTGAAGAGCTCATTGAGATAGAAAAGGCAAAGGAGAAAGCTCAAACCCTGGAGTCAATTTTGGTATCTGGGGATCGAAACTTTGTCATTGGAAAAGGTGGAACTGAGGTAAGATAATAGCTTTTAACCTCCTTTTATGGTTTCAAAAGTGATATTCCTGTGTACATTGTGGGGCAAAAATCTCACAGGTTCCTTTTGTCAGGGCAGGTGACCTCTGTGTGTGTGTGCTTTTGTGCTATTTGTGGTAATAAGTGAATAACAACTATTATTTGTGGATTTAGATTCCTGTGTCAGATCTGGTGGGGAAGAGCATCCTCCTTTATTTCTCAGCTCATTGGTGCCCTCCATGTCGTGCCTTTCTACCAAAACTTCTTGAAGCCTACCACAAGATAAAGGCAAAGGATGATGCATTTGAAGTTATTTTCATCTCTAGTGACAGAGACCAAGGCGCTTTTGATGAGTTTTTCTCTAGAATGCCATGGCTTGCTCTTCCCTTTGGTGACTCAAGAAAAGCATCATTAAGCCAGAAATTCAAGGTGCAAGGCATCCCCATGCTTATAGCCATTGGTCCTACTGGCCAAACAATCACAAAAGAAGCAAGAGACCTCGTTATGCAGCATGGGGCAAATGCTTATCCTTTCACTGAAGAGCGGCTGAAAGAGATAGAAGCAGAGTTTGAGGAGATGGCAAAAGGGTGGCCTGAGAAGTTGAAGAGTGCACAGCATGAGGACCACGAGCTCGCGCTTGCTCGCCGTAGAGGTTATGTATGTGATGGGTGTGATGAGCCAGGAGAAGAGGGGTGGTCATTCTACTGTGAGGAGTGTGACTTTGATCTCCACCCAAGGTGTGCATTGGAGGAAGATAAAGGAACCAAAAGTGATGCCAAGCAGGAACAGGATCCTCCTCAAGAAGGATGGGTGTGCGATGGTGATGTGTGTAAAAAAGCTTAAGAACAAGTATGTGTGTGATTTAGGGCTTAAAATCTCATATGTAGATTATTAGAGACTTGTCTATGTTGAATAGTTTCTTTCTGTTGTGTCCCAATGTATTGTCGTTTCAGATGGTGCAGTGTTATTCTATTATAAGATCTGGTGATGTTGTGCATTGATATCGAACTCAAACTTTCCTCGGCAATTCCCAATTATTTTTTATTTTACAATCTACCGCTTTTTGTAAATTACATGTCTTATATTTTAGTTGCATTCCATTTTTAGGGTCTATGATTTCATTTCAATGCATTGTCTAACAACTACACTCCGCGTTTGTAAGAATTTGTAACTCCTACACGTCGCATTAGTAAAAATTTATAACTCAAGTAGTTAAATATTTATTCATGAATCTAACGTCGTTTGATCCCGTGACCAACATTGCTTGCTTATATAAAAAGGTGCACATCACTTTAATATAATTGATGATTATTTGCACGCTGCCAACGTGTGTCTATAAATATGTTGGGCAAAGGCATGGGCCATGGCCTACACAGGAAGGTTCCTTTTCTTTTTGTCATAAACACAAAATAAAGGTCGGACCAAAAATAAAGGAGACTTGACCCAAAGTCGTCGCCAACTTCTATTTGAAATAATAAAACAATATTATATTATGTTAACAAAACCACGATATATATATATATTTTTGTCTAATGCATGCCTTAAGTTGTATATGTGGAATATGATCCAACATAAGCACATTCACAATCGTAATCCTTATTTTTTAGTTAAAATTTAGTTAAAAATACTAGAAAGTTATTTTAAGAGCTTTTTATAAAATTTCAACTCCAATCATGCTCTCTAGTTTAGGAATCATAAATGGTTTATTTCTTTTTTTAGTTTAGCATAAATTCTCCCTTTTCATATAAAATAATAATAAAATATAGTTAGTATTAAATAAATACTTAAAATAACATTAAAGTAAAGCATCATTTAATTATAAGGAGCCACTATGAGTTGGATATGGAGCATGGTTGGAGGTGAGTTTTCTCACATTCCCCTAAATTTTATATAATGAGGTAGTTTAGGGAGTCCATTGTGGATGCTCTTATGAGCTAAGAGCATCTACAATCATGTTCCGTATTTTTTAGTTAAAATTTAGCTAAAAACACACAAAAGTTATTTTAGGAGCTCTCTATAAAATTTGAACTCCAATCATACTCTCTAGTTAAGGGAGTCATAAATACTATAGTCATTTTTTAATTCAATAGGATTGGTCCATCTCTATAAGAAATCATATATAAAAATAGTTAGCATTAATTAAAAGTATAAACAATGCATAAAACAAAGTAGTATTAAATTATAGGAAGTCAGAAGGAGTCATTTCTCTCTCCTCAGATTTAGGAGCTCTTAGAGTTCTCCTTATTTTAGGAGGTGGATAGGGAGCATGGTTGGAATCCAGTTCCTCCCTAAAATTTGTTTAATGATGTGGTTTAGGGAGCCCATTATGGATGATTTTAATAGGGACATCTTTATTCCTTTTTCATTTTTAGGCAAGGATTCTGCTAGTTGGGAGGAGAAAGGTAGGGAGGAGTACGAGAGCATTTTGTGATTTTGGGGCATGATGGGGTTAAAGCTTACGAGCTTGGTTTTAATTGAGTTCCATAGAGAACATGGCCCGCATGAGCTTGACAACAGGCGCTTATGTCAATGTTAGTAGTGGGCCTTTTTTTTTTACAAAAAAAAAATAACGGAATACAACACAAGAACTTCACAGGAGGTCACCCACCCTAGTACTACTCTCACCCAAACTCCCTTTACTTCGGAGTTCTGATGGGATCTAGTGCATTTGAGTTGGAATGATCGCATCCGTCAGTAGTGAGCCTCTATCGGGAGTTTTCCGTTTTTCTTTATGGGCCCATGAGTCGTATATTTAGTCATTTTGTCAGATCAATCAATGCTAGAATTATATTATGCGTTATTGTCGTCTTCCTCAATCTATTTATTTCACTCGTTTTTTAGATTTCCTTTATCAATTAGAAGGGGAAGTCGAAATTGGGGTATTTTCAAAATTATAAAGAAAAAAACCAACCAAATTAGGAGCTAATTGGGAAAAAAGACAAGAAGTGGTGAAAAATGAAAGATTGAAAGAAATGTCTTGATAATAAGGGCTATTGAATAGTTTTGTGAGTGTTCACACCAAAACAAAAGAACAATAGTTTTGGCTCAAGTTTCAGTTGTTAATGTGTTTTGTGAAACTAATCAAGTACCATATAGTCTTGTTCGTTATACTTTATTTTTATCGGATTTATCTTCTTGGGACCTCCATATATCATTCAAGATGTTTTAATAGATGATATTATGTAATGGTGTTTTGCTTCAATCTATTTCATCGTTTTCTCTATATATAAAAAATAAACAACAGTTTTCTGGTCAATGTGAACACAAGTATTACTATTCCAATGTTCACACTTCTAATAAATTATGAATTGCAAGGAATTGAGGACCTAATATTAATGTTTGTATATTGTGTCACATCCCGGGATCGGCTCCGCCGTAGTAAGATATTGTCTGCTTTGGGCTCCCTTCTCTGCCCTCACGGTTTTGTTTCTGGGAACTCACGAGCAACTTCCCAGTGGGTCACCCATACTGGGATTGCTCTAGCCCCAACTCGCTTAACTTCGGTGTTCCCATGACTCCGAAGCCAGTGAGCTCCCAAAAGGCCTCGTGCTAGATGGAGGCAAGCATGTACTTAGAAGGCACATCACCCCGTCTCCGTTGATCGCTGTGCGATGTTTCATATTGAGCAGTCAAGCTACTAAATAGATTTTAAAAATGACTACATGCTCAAATGCTATGGATGTATTTTATATTTATTTGGTTTTGGGTAAATAGGAATTGCATTTAAAAAACAAAAGGCAACAATAGAACGATAACTTTATCACATTCATACCTTTAAACTAACCAAGTCACGGATATGTCTATTTGGTTTGGGAATATTCCTAAGACAATGAGGAGGAGGTGTAAAGGGACATCTACATTTTCCGTCAAAGATGGGAAAAAAGATGAGATGTATATCTCTCCAACTGGGGTCCACACAGGTAAAGGAAGAGAGAGAAGACCAAGTCGGTGCAGAAAAAAAGGATGAGAGGGAGTAAATGGAGGCCCCAGCTAATGCAGATAAATTTGTATTAAATGGAGATATAAGACCAAGTCAGTGCAGAAAAATGGGATGAGAGGGAGTAAATGCAGGACCCAGCTAATGCAGAAAAATTTGTCACGAATATGTCTATTTGGTTTGGGAATATTCCTAAGACAGTGAGGAGGAGGTGTAAAGGGACATCTACATTTTCCGTCGGAGATGGGAAAAAAGATGAGATGTATATCTCTCCAACTGGGGTCCACATAGGTAAAGGAAGAGAGAGAAGACCAAGTCGATGCAGAAAAAAAGGATGAGAGGGAGTAAATGCAAGCCCCAGCTAATGTAGAAAAATTTGTATTAAATGGAGATAGAAGACCAAGTCAGTGCAGAAAAATGGGATGAGAGGGAGTAAATGCAAGCCCTAGCTAATGCAGAAAAATTTGTATTAAATGGAGATAGAAGGCCAAGTCAGTGTAGAAAAATGGGATGAGAGGGAGTAAATGCAGGCCCCAGCTAATGCAGAAAAATTTGTCACGAATATGTCTATTTGGTTTGGGAATATTCCTAAGACAGTGAGGAGGAGGTGTAAGTGGACATCTACATTTTCCGTCGGAGATGGGAAAAAAGATGGGATGTATATCTCTCCAACTGGGGTCCACACATGTAAAGGAAGAGAGAGAAGACCAAGTCAGTGCAGAAAAAAGGGATGAGAAGGAGTAAATGCAGGCCCCATCTAATGCAAAAAAATTTGTATTAAATGGAGATAATACTGTTTTGCTATTCTAACCAATCACAAACTGCCAATTAAAAAAGTTATCACATATGGCATGTTGTGATTGGCATGAAATAGCAAAATAGTGATATTCTCGTTTCACACAAATGTTTATCCAGCTAATGGGTGTTGCTTGCTGATGCAAGCGCACTACCTCTCTTCCCCCAACAGACAACTGCGATCTTCTTTAGTTTGAAATTCAACGACTGTTACAAGAAGAGAAAAAATAACCTTTAAAAAAAAAAAAAAAAAGACCTAAACATTTCGGGAAATTTTTTTTCTCTATGTATGCCCAACTAAAATAAATCAACAAAACTTGTTTAATCCTATGTTATTGCAATTTAAATTTTGTTTCCTCCATTTATTTGGAAAAATAAAATAAAACAAAAAATAATAATTTAAAAGGTTAACACAAAATATAAATTAAAAGATATGAATTAATACAAGAAAATCAACTTTACATCTTCGGATTTACATTTTCACCATAAGACAAAACATGATTTACATCAGCTGTAGATGTAAAAGTGACTTTATACCCTTAAATTTACACCTCTCACCGTGGATGTTCTTATGGGTATACTAGTGATTTGCCCCCTGAACTTGTACCTAACTTTCAATTAACCCCTTATCCTTTTTTTTTAGAAAATTAAGGATATGAACTTTTTATTTTCTCCAATTCCCCCCCCCAATTGTCTAAATCCTCAACATTTCATCTAATTTTCAGTTAAATTATTTTTAAAAATTGAAGAAAAAGAAGAAAATTGACCAAAAAAGAAAAGAAAAAGACATTGAACTAGCAACCATATCGCCCCCCTCCCTTAGCTCTATCTCCTCCAACACATCAACCCCATCACAACACAGCCAACTTCTTCAAGGTATGGCTCCCAGTCTATCTTTGTCTATGTTACTGCTTTGACACTGCCAAGTTAGTCCCCAAAGGTTGCACAAGACTCCTTTGTTTGCTTCCAATTGTGTGTCTCTTTCTCTATCTTCCTCTCTTTCTCTCCTCCATGTGGGCGTTACATCGTTTTTCATTTCTTGGCTTGCCAACTTCAAGCTGTTCCTCTTGGCTTTTGGTAAAGGACCTTTGTCTTCTGAGCCACCAATCTCTCTTGGTTGCTTTGTTGCTGTTGCTTGCCTTCCCATCAAGATCCAACAAAACAACCCACCCCCAAATTCATTAGGCAAACACAAAAACACCCAAAATGATTCAATCCCATCTTTACCAAATCAAAATAACAAATTCAAAGAAAACTCCTCTCCAGCAAAATCACACCATGAAAATAGCCAACAACAACACAAAGAAAACCCACCTGCAAAT